TCACTGCTGCAAATAAAGAGAAGCAAAACATTAAACATATCTTGGTTATTTCTAATTGCAGAATATAGATGATATTTTATCAAATAGACTATCATATCTATCATTGTAAATGTCATTTCTACTGCAAGTCTTTTGTAGCAATTTTATCTACTCTATAGAGCTCTTGCTGCTGGGCAAAGAGGTGTTTTTCTGAGGAACTGTACTTATTTTTCTATCAATATATGTTCACAGAGAGAATTCCCTGAATTTTTACTACTCTTTATTTCATTAATCTCTCCTCCTGACAGCTGTTGATCTCTCCAGAATAACTATTTATTTAAATGTAATTCTGAGTAAATGATGTCAGACTGCTCTTTGAATACTTTTGGTGCAGTGCTAAGATATTAAAGAAGTTACAGAACTGCAAAAGAAGGCAATTGAGGTCAGTAATTGAAGAGGTTTTATTTCCAGGGTTTGTTCTCATGATAGAACATCTCTGACCTGTGATGCTCTATGCAAAGTAAACACAGCTTCCTTTCATCTTACCGTATTGCATGGTTTGAATGTCACTTGCTTTGCCTTCAGAAGTCTGGGATTTCTTACTTAGATTTGAAACCAAAGAATGAGGGAACAAACAAGCTGCTAATTCATGTTGTGCAGAAAGTATTTCTGTAAGGATTTCAGTAAATCATGTTTTAACAGTTTGCCTTAATTTTTTGGAACATATAGTTGCAGTAAAAGAACTAAAAAGTGTTAAACTTTTAAAGTTTAGAAGTTTAAAGTGTTAAGCTTTTTTAAAAAACTTTTTTAAAGATCTAAAAAGTGAGAAAAGAAAGAATTGAGACTGTATTATGGTGTCAATACCACAGAAGAAATAGGGATTGAATATCATGAATGGTCCATTTCTTTTTCTAGCGGAGTGCGCAAGAATGATAAGACATCCAATATTATACAATTAATGTAACTTTATGTTTGGGAAGTTTCTTTCTCCTTTAGCTATCTTATTTAAAAATCAAAATGCAGATAGAATAGCTTTAGTTTTAATATGTGATAGACGGATGAAGTCTGCCCAACAAAGTATACTAATAGAATTATAATAGTTTTGGGCAGACAGCCACTAACAAACTGTTGTGAATAGATCTCAGTAGATTAAATATTTGTATGACATTATGACAATATAGCCTGTTTTATGAAAGCTGAAATATTTTACTAATATGCTGTGTTCCAATAAATTTTGAGATTCTGTTATAAGAAAGGAGACAAGCAAGAGGGGTAGTTAAGGTAGGGAGTGTGGGAGACTACTTGATTTGGGATAGATAATAATGCTATAACTGAAGCAGAGCAGAGATCTGAAGTTGAATTCTGGCATAATCCAGGATAATAGGCAAATGCTAAGCAACTGAGTGTAACAGACAGTGGTATACAACTTTTTTTCGGAATGCAGTTCCACTCATGAGAATGCATTCATGCATTTTGTGTTTTGTTCAGTTTAGAAATGAAAACAAATTGCAGAACTACAGGAGCTGCTGCAAAATTAAAGAGCTCTGGTTAGAATTATTCCTTTAATACTTTCAAAAGAATAATCAGACGATAAACACAATGAAAAAAAAAGACAAGCGTTTCTCTTCATTAATAGGGAAAAGATGAAGTCAGACCTAATGCTAAATTTTAAATTTTGGATGTGGTTGCTTGTGGATGCCTGAGATGACTCTTCTCATTCATGTTTTGTTGGCTAACTACTCAGACATATAAATGACAAAGCCTCTTTCACCCTGATTGGGGTGAAACAGTTAATTACTGCATAACTCTGTAATATACGTTCTTGGGCACATTTTAGAAGCAAGATTAATTTATTAGGCTTGTTAGGCAGTATATATAAGAGCTTAAAATTGAAAATGGATCTTAAACTTACTTAAACTTGGATTTCATTTGTAATTTTCTTCTGCTCTAAACACTACTAACTCTTACTCTCTGTCCACCTGAAATGTTGCTCAAGGACAAATTTTAACTCAGTCTTTCTACAAAGTTCTTAAATGTAGGCTGTGGCTGGTGTGAACAAATGGGTGGAACTTTTCATCTTCCAACCCAAGAAGCAGATGCAAATGAAGCTCTAATGTTAATGTTTACATCATTTTCTTCTTCTCCCATACTCCTTTTTTTTTAACAGATCTACTATTGTTTTCTACTTTTCTTCAACCTTCACCTTATAAGAAGACAAAAGAAAAAAAGAATCGATTGAAGATTAATTTAACCATGTTCCTACACCTAAACCATAGACTATATTGTAGTAATAGACTTCAAAGACAGCAGAAAAAAAAAATGTATCATCTACTTTGACTTCCTCTACTAAGATATTTTCAGTTCCTATCATATCATTTTGGGAGTATTTAAAGCTACTCAGTGGAGGCCAACAAAACTGAGGTTCTTTGCATTAGCTTAGGAGACACATCTCTCAGCTGTGCTATTTCTCAAATAGATTTTATCTAAGTCAGTTTTTATTCTTAAAAATATTGATTCATTCAATAACCAAAATTATTTCATGTAATGTCTCCAGAACAGCATACAGCTTGCAGAATGCTTATTGTGACTGGATTAATTCACTGGAATGTCACCAGCATCCCGGTGGGTGCCTTCCAACTTTGAGACCAGCTGGAAATTCTTTTTCTGGAACCTCTCAGGTGTCAAAGGCAGTCAGTGGAAGCAATGTGAGATACAGAATTAATGAAGGTAGAGACAGATGATATTGGGCAGGAGTGTTTGCCAAAACATTGTGCCATCCAAATTTAAAAGGAAGAGTAGCTCTAAATCAGATGGCTAATTTTATGGATGATGAAAACATATTGGCTTCTCATATACATTTTTGTCCAAGTGTTTAACACAGTTTGTATTTTTATGTTCCCATGTGGACTGGGCATCCTGTCCCTTTACCAGCTCGAAAGCCACCACAGAGATTGTTACAGATTTTTATTTTGCTCTTGAAAATGATAGTGGAAGTCCACACAGAGTTAACAAGACACTTCTTATCTTTTTTTATAGTACTGACTAGTCCCATGAAATCTTCTTAATGTAAATACGATAGACTCTTTAGAGCCTTTATTCAGGAAAATACATATGAGTACATCAATTAAAAAATGTTTTTGATTTACTGTGTCTGGAAAAGCTTCATTTCTTATTATATATATATTTTTTCTTTTTCATCTTTCTGCTTATGTTAGTGACTCACCTACACTACTACCGGGGAACAGAATTACAGCATAGGTAGGAAGGAAGATTGCAATTTTAATTATGCTGCACCTTCTTATATCAGAATATTTTCCAAATATGTGAGTGTCTGCAACCATCTTTCTAATGCAAATTCCGCATATCTGTTCTGTTAGTCATCCATAATATTTGCTCAGATGTATTTTGTGTTTACTAGCCAGGGATTGCTGATCTAGCCCTCATCCTACTAGCCAGCAGGTAACATTTGTGGTAGAAGAGGCTACTGTGCTCCATAGACAACTTTTTGCTGTCTTGATCAAACTATAACTTTGCTTAGGATTTCCATTATTGGTTTAACTTGGCTAATACAGTTCTTCTGAATAAAAGAGACTCTTTAAATGGGTTATTAGCTGCTGCTTTAGATTAGGGTGACTCTTCACCCCAGGGAGAGTTCAGCTCAGTTATCTTCCCCTCTTGCATAATTCCTAGTCTTTACGATTGGTTTCATTAGTGCTGCATGCCATTTCTCAAATAAATGCTGTCATTTTACCATTCTTGCTTGTTTGCTGACTTTCTTTAAGGGAAAGCACAGTTACTTCACAGAATCACAAATGATTAAAGTTGGAAGAGACCTCTGGAGATCATCTAGTTGGGTCTATCAAATAGAGGATGAGTCCTATCTCTGCCAGGCTAAATCCACATTTATAAGCATGAAGAAATGCTTAGATCTGTTATTTTAGATTGGACTTATCCATTGTGAAATTCAAAGTAAGTTTCTTGCCCAGTTATACTGCAGGTTCACTGAAAAAATCGTAAACAATATTATGGTTGGATGTACTTATGTAAGTTTGAATTCACCTCCACTTTTTGAATCTTTACTAGGTTGAAGGACTTAACTGTATTAAGGAGCTTATTTTCTCTACAGTTAAAAACAATTTGCATTAACTCAGTAACCATATGTGTCTGAACAAAGGCTGAGAAGCACATTCACAACATCCTTAAATATAGTGCAGAAGATAACCAAAAGCATCTCAGGAACAGAAGCATTTTCAGAAAGCAAAAATGCAGGCACACTTTGCATGACACTTCCTGAAAATCATTCGCAAAAACATGCTACCTTTAATTTGGATAGAAGAATTAAATTAAGTTTTCTGATTTATTGTGTTCAAAGGTTTTGTCTTTTCTTTTGTGTAACTGCTTTGGTGTTTTCACACGTAGAGAATTTCACCACAAGTCCCCTTTGAGACAGACAACTGTGGGCTGCTCCACTGAAGGAAACTGGGAGTCAAGTAAACTTCTGAACTCCTGTGATGACTGCCTATAATACTTCCCTCCATTTAAGTCACCTAAAGTTGTTCTGTTACCTGAAGATAACCTGAAGGAGTCCCTCCTTAAGAGTTTTTAGAGTAGCCTCTGGAATCTACTCTCAATATTTACTAAGACAGTGTTGTTGGAAAGTTGACAGGGATTTCATCATACAGTTTTATTTCCCTAGAGATTCTTGCCATGGGCAATATATAAGTGGGATGATCTCAAATGAATTTTACATCATTAATTTTAATGATTCCCTGGTTTAACTTTGTAGCAGATGGTTTGTAGAGCTAAGGTATTTAAAGAATCCCTCTAAAAATATTGAAATCTTTCCTTTCTGAGAGTAAACCGATCTAGTAGGACTTCAAAATTTTATGATGAGGAACATTCTCCAGATGTCCACAATGTGTGGATTTTGTCTTGTTGCACAAAGTTTTTCTTCAGCTGTTTACTAAATAACTCATTATGACTTTCACTTCTTTTTTTTGTTGTTGTTGTTTTTTTTCTAGCTTTCATTTGCAGCAACAACCCCAGAGTTGGCAGATAAGAAAAAATATCCTTATTTCTTCCGGACAGTGCCATCTGATAATGCAGTGAATCCAGCAATTTTGAAGTTACTCAAATATTATCAGTGGAAGAGAGTTGGAACTTTAACCCAGGATGTACAAAGGTTCTCTGAGGTAAGAGTTGAATAATTCCCAGTGCAAAAAGTCTAAATCAGACTTCCAAGGAACCAGTTCTTCCATGAATAGCAATTCAGTATAAAGAAACAGACCTACTCTTTCAGTTTTGCTTGGTTTTGTCTTACTAGATCACATTTATTGCATTCAGCAAACTTAATTCTCATATTTGAGTAATTATGGTAAAAACTACTAATGCTTTGCCTTGACTAGGGTCACCAAAATACTTGGTGCATTTTTACACCAAGATGATTGCATCCAAGTACAAAGGTTACAAAAATTACTTTTGTTTTTGTAGCAAGAGATCTTCTACACTTTTCACTTGCAGAAGTTTATGGTTTTGAAGAAAGCATATGTCATTGGTTAAGATGAGAAATTAAATCTAATTTCACCTTTGTTTTTCTTTCATGTTTTTATTATTTATTATAAACCTCATACTGAACATTTCTGCTAAGAAGCTGTATAGTCGAGGGGCTTACTGGGGGTGAAAGGACTGCAGCATCCAGGACTGATGAAAGCACGTCTTGTGTACCCTCCAAACTTCTGTGTTTCACCCTGATCAACATTTTTTGTCACAGAAATTGGTGGAAAGTAGGAACCACGTGTCTTAAACCTATTAATAACATAGGTGTAAAGAGAAAACGCCCTATAAGCAATTGGAGGAAGACAGAGAGAAGTATTGGTTCCTCCAGTAACAGAGAGACAGAACTAACATAGGATGCCAGTGAAAAATTACTTTTTTGTGGTTGTTATTTTTCTCCTTCCTCAGCTTTCATTAAAAAAGTCTGACTAATCTGAAGAATAGGGTAATTAACATTAGTAAAGCGGGATAAGAACAGGTTAGGACTTGCTCAGATGAACTAGGTATTTTCAAATTGTCTGCCACTATTTATTCACTATGTAGTACTTAAATCTAAGAATCTTTGCTTACAGACTTTAAGCATTCAAGGAAAACAGGTAGGATATTGCAGTGGGGAGACGAGAAATCTCTGTGTCTTTCTTTCCAAAAAAAAGAAAACAAAGACCTAGGGAATTATGAAGCAGTCACCTAACTTCAGTTCCTGGAAAGATACTTGAACAGATTATCTATTTGGAATCATCCTGAAGAAAACAAGGTGCTAAAGAATGTCCAAAATAGATTTGTCAAAAATAAATTAAAGCAATATAATTTGTATCTATAACACATATCAAGGAGATAGGGTAAGGATGAATGTAATATTTTATGACTTGTAAAAATGTCAAAGGCATTCCAGAAGAAAACTAGAGAAACTTATCTTAAGAAAGATTCTCTAAGATCAGTCTTTAACCAATATGCTTGCCACCAGGGTTAATCATAATAATAAAAACTGTTTTTTTGGATGAATGAGGAGCCAAAAACTAACAAAAAATATACTTTATCCATCTCTGTCTTAGAATAATAATTTCAAGAAGTGATTATTGATGGTTCATTGTCAGACAGAAAAGACGTGGTTCTCTTAAGTGGTTTTCTGTTTCTTTTATTACCCCGTGTTGTCATAAGTAATCCAGATAACAAGACAGAGAATGTGTTTATTAAATCTTCAGATGATAAAAAAAAGCTGCAAGCACTTTGCATATATGCACCACATACTTTTGCTTTTTTTTTTTACTTAGGTTTCAAAATGATGTTGGTAAGTACAGAAAGGTTTTAAAATAAATAGTATATAAAAATAAGTCCATAATACTAAACTTAGATAATCAGTTCTATATGAAGAAATGCTATCTAGGCAGCAGATCTCTAGATAAAGATACTGGAAGCACTATAATGGATCACAAACTGGGTGAGAGCTAAGAATGCTAGGCTACTATAAAAAGTAGGAAAGAAGAAAATAGTCCCATTCCTCTTGAAAATAGCTCTCATTTCCCCACTTAAGATAAAGTAAACTGTCATCTCTGCTTAGCCCTAGTTAGATGTGAGTTAGAACACTATGTCTACTTTGGACTTCAAGGATGTGGGAAGTCTATTTATGAAAATCTAGAAACACATCTTTCTATCTTATCTATCATAAAGAAAACCAAAAAAACTGGAAGGTCTGGATTAGCTCAGAGAGTTATCTGATAGGAAATATGGTAACAGTTTTCAAGTATATAGAATTAGCTCCCGAGAGGAAGGTAATAAGGAGTTTTCCAAACTTATAATGAATTACAGAAAAAACTGCACAACAACAGTTTGTCTTGCTACAGACAAACTGCAGCAAGAAAAATTCAGATACACATCAGGAATTTTTTGGTAGGGTGTTGAAACTTTATCATGAAGATTCCTCAAGGAAAGTCTAAACAATACAAAGATACACATATTCTCAGTCTTCCTCTGGGAAAGAAGAACAAAGTACATGCCAAGTCTTTTTCTTGCTCTGACTCCATGACATGTCCAATTTCTTGCCTTTCTGTGTTCTGTTCAGAAACAAAAATATTTTATTTATCGATTACACATATTAAAAGCTTTCTATAGGTAAGTTATGGCTTACAATCATTCTACTCATCACATTTTTCTTGATCACTTAAGAAATGTTTAAACTGCAGCTTTCTAGGGTATAGTGGAACACAGTACATGAATTCAAAGTCTTTCCATTCCTCTTGAAGAAGTGACACCCTTCTGTGTCAGACTGCAAACTCAGTTACATTATGGTTTGTTAAAGTCTTCATGTAATGAAAGATCCAGTTAACTTTTCACTTGAATTCAGGTAATATTCAGGTAATATGTTAAGCCTCAAGTTTTTGAAATAGTTGGGGCTTAACCCTTCCTTTTTCAGCTTCATAGAGAGTTTATTCCCTTCATTTGTGTTCTGGTGCAGATAATGAAATTACTGGAAAATCTGCAGGAAATAACAGGTGGGCAGGGAGCAGCGAGGGCCCAGTGCTGCCAAAGGGCTGGGGATCTGTAAGCCAAGGGCTCAGTATGAGTTGCTCCACCTAGGGCAAAGCAAGCAGGGCAGACCCAGACATCATGCTCATCTTCAACCAAGAATCTAGATCATTAGGTAAGTTCATGGTAATGAGGCAGGTCTAAGGTCAAGCTGGGAAGTCAGTCTGCAGATCACAGTCAGGTCAAATGATTACCAGGCAGGTCTATGGCAGGACAAGACAGGTTCAAGATGGAAAATCAGTCTGCAGGTTGGGATCCAGATCCACCAGTTCTTTGTCCAGGCAGCGGTCTGGTGTGGCTGAGCTGGAGACCAAACTCCACCTACACCGAGTAACACAGAGTAAAAAGAGCTCCTGGGTACAGGTGAAGAGGTTGTGGGTGGAGGCTCAAGGACCATTAGGGCCTGTTAGTGTCTTCAGGGTCCTGGCGTTTGTCTGTAGGTGCACATTAGCCTTTCCTCTAAAGGAAAATCAGCCAATAATGGCCTTCTAAGGTATGATATAAACTATATTTATTTTGCTAACTCTTTTTTTTTCTTAAACATGTATCTTTGATATAAAATCCCCCAAAGTTTAGGCTGTGATTCTTCCTTTCTATGCTGAAAATGTATACAATACCACTAGGACAGAAATAACTGAATAGCATCTCTGTTTACTCCCATACAAAATAAGCAGGAAATTAATAGGGTTTTGATCACAGCCTATGTAGTAACTCAGCAGTTCTATTTTCAGTAGCAATTTTTTTTCTGTATGTAATTTTCTGCTCTCTTATTTTTTTGTTTCTGAGAAAGAGTGCATTAGTGTGACAAATCTAGTTTTCCTCTTTTATCTAGAATACTGCATGTCTGTCTGAATTTCCTCCAGTTGTCCTCCCATCTAAATACATGGAGGTACAGAAATTGCCTCTTTGACTGTGTTATGTAGGAAAGAGAAGACTTCATACCCTCCAGTTTAGTCATCATGATCACGATGCCTCTCAGCAGCAGCTATCTAGCTCCGGGTTCTGTGGCTGATGTTACTCCCCAGTCACTTTATTTTTCTTTAGTTTGATTGCTGCCTCCTGTCTCTTTGTGGTTTGTACTATGATCTTATACCATGAAGTTCACCTAACTTGTCTGCAATTTGTCAGCTGGCCCTGAAAATCACAAAGATGTTTGTTGTCTTCTTGTGTAATGAGGGAATTGCTTAGATTTTTCAGTCTAACTTATCTCTGGAGGCCAAAATTATGAAGCACGTCTTCTGTTAAAATTTTTCCTTTGGGAACCCTTCCTGCAGAGACCTTGCTTTATCATCCCTGATTCTTTTCACTTAGTAGAAAAACTCCTGTTTCATATAAACAGGTGTTACATCTTCCTTATTTACCTGGTCAGAGAATTAGACAAGAAGTAAGCAGAACATTTTCAATTCCTAAAGTACAAAGGTTATGTCTGTGTGTCTCATACTATTGACATGACACGAGTTCCTTTTCATAGCATTGCTCATATCCTAATGGCTGAGTTTTATGTTTGTCAATAACAAAGACTCTTGGTGTTCTCTGTAAGTTTTTCATGTCTGTTTCCACAACCAGAAAAGCCTCTTCCATTGGAATAATATATTAGCTGTATAAGTACACTTGGCATAAGGGTATTATAACAGCTTCATCATTTTTGTTACTTAACTAGAGCAAGTTCACGCTCATTGTGCTTCTGTGCCCTAGATTTTTTGAACTGCAGCCTTATTCTCATCCACTGGGAAAAGTTTCTGTTTCAAAAGTTAATAATTCTATTTCAAAGGTATATAAATGAGGTTACAAAATATTTTCATGGTTTTGGGCTTTAAATGTTTGCTATAGCATAGAATTATAGAAAATTTAGGTTTGAAGAGGCCTCAGGAGCTTCCTTGATCCATCCCCTGTACAAAGGAAGGCTAGCTTTAACATTTATCATCCGTGGGGTGTCAGGCTAGCTCATTAAAGAACACAGTAAAATAATCCAGAGGGACAACAACCACTGCGCTTTAGTTAGTTAATTTTAGAATCATAGAATCATTATGGTTGGAAAAAACCTCTAAGATTGAGTCCAGCCATAAACTTTTCTACACCATGCCTGTTAAACTATGTCCCTAAGTGCCTCATCTACACGTTTCTTAAACAC